TGATTTTTTTTCTCTGGCACTATACTGCCCATCTACTGTGCCAAATGATAGCGCATCACTTTCAGAAGTCCTGCCTCAGGAGTAGTACCACTGAAATTAATGGTGCACTGACAGACTATAAAGCCACCATACAGAGCAAACGTATTTTAAGAGTGCTGCTGAAGCTTTGGAAATGTGATATGTTTTTCGGATCATGTCTACCTAAAGTTTCTCATTGTTTGTTTTTGCACAGGTTTCTTAGATAGTTTTTAGAGGTTTGGGTTTGGTTTTGGTTTTTTTCCCCCCTCTGCTTAGATTTTTCTTCTGTCCAATGCATTCAGAATTTTAACAAGGAAATATGAGGTTACAGGAGACCTCAGGACAGATCTATCTATTACATGTAGTTAAAAAACCCCTGTCAGCAACTAACTATACAAATTTGATTTTTTTTAAGAGTAGAAGTCTTAAATAGAAAGCACTACAGACTAAAGATTTACTAAACTATATTACTTATTCATCTAAAATTTTCCAGTCAATGGATACTATTTTAGAACAAGAAGTTGAGCAAAATCTCTTAGTACACTAGACATGATAGCCAGGTATTTTTCCTTTTTTTGGTTACCTTTCATACCTGATAATTTTTTAAAGGTCTTTCAAAACTTTCTTTTAGACAGGGCAAGATCCTCAAAATGTTATGTAAAAGCACTGTTGGACCCTTGTGCTCTTTCTGTGAGGATGTATGGACCAGATTTGAAGGGAGTTAAACAAATTAATTCATGGACATTATATACCAGCTATAAAAAAAGCTACTTCTGATCAGTTATTTTCATTTTCAAGGGTTTTGAAATTGTTTCCCTAACAACCTTGATGGATTAAAAAAGAAAATAAACCCATCATCATATTCTTTTTTTAATGTGCATCTTATGTTCTCTTGAAAAATGCTGGGCTAACAGCATTAAAGATTGATGCTCTTTAAACAAAGAATGGATGAAAGCCTTCCAATGCTGCCTTCCTAAAATGCTCCATCCCCAATCTGTCTGGGTAGGTTAAAAGGGTCCCACTCACTCACTCACTCCCTGGCAGAAGTTGTCAGTAAAAATGCAAATGAATTCTGATTATGATAACATTTTTTTTTTAACAAAGGTGGCATCTTATAGAAGTGCACCCCATCAAATCAATTTGGTTAAGCTATTTATATACATTTCTTCTATGATTTCTGTGGCATCCGAATTCACTGAGGTCATGGAGACATTGATGCCTGGTAAATTGCCAGTAATCAAAGGTTGTTAAGTGCTTGTCAGCTTCCTTTCAAGCTTAGTCTATCTTTATCATGAGGAAGACATAGCTCAGCAGCTACAGACCATTTATTCATAAACTGATAACACCCAGGAAGTATGCATTACATCATTAAAATATCCATACTGTTGCAGAAATATTTGTTCTAAAGCAACCTCATTTTTCTGAAATAAAAACCGTGCCCAATGAAAAATGAAGTCTTGTCATGCCTCTGCAGCATGGTTGCTCTCTGACACATGGACTACTTTGTTTCCAGCTCCTCCTCTCTCCTTTAAGCCCTCTCCCCCAAGGCTTCTCTTTAGTGGAGACATTGGAATATATGCAGGGAAACACATACGATTTTAGCGTTTTAGTTGCACTTGGTGTTTATTCCAGTTTTCTGGCTGCTCTCTCCTGTGGTAGTAGTTTGCTGGCCACAAAAAAAAGTCAGATACCCTTAAATGGAAAAAGTTGAGGGTAAGTGCTGATGAACTCTTAAGTTACAAAGATCTTCTTTTCAGGCATGTTGATTAAAGCCCGCTCAGCCATAAAATAATTAATTGAACAAACTGAAGCAAGTCATCAGTTGGGGCAGATTAGTATAGCGCCGCTAAAATGATCAGCCCACATCAGTTAATGCTACCTGTGCACTAGTTGCAAGATATGTTCAGAACTATCTGGTATTTAAAAAAAAAAAAAATCTGTGTGGAAACTTCATAGTCTTTTGAAGAAATGCATATTAAAGCTAAATGCTCCTGGTGAAATATGAGAAGAAGATATATCTGTCCATCCTATCAAGTTGTTCAGATGTTTGTTGGGTGGGAAAGATATGGTTGTAGGAAGACTTAAAGAAATTCTGAATGTTAAATTAGTCATGAAATACTGTTATCAGTGGAAAGCTTTGGAGAACACCCAAGACAGAATTTAATTTAGAGGTAGAGATGATCGTTTATTATTAATAGAACTTTCTGTTGAAGGAGCCCTGTGCTTAGCATGTCACAACCATTTTGCGAATCCATCATCCCAAACGTTACAGGAGCACGGCTCTGAAGCACTCTGTCCCTAGGGCCACCTTCTACCCGCAGTAGGAGGATTACAGTTGTCTGTGGTGAAGCTGCATGCTAGATTTTTTTGTCTCAGTTTTTAAAAAAGAGTAATTTGCTTAAGCTGAAAACAGTGAGATAACTGTCTTCACTACTAGTCTAATATATCCTATGATTTTTTTTCTGTGCAGTTCTGGTTATACTAAATATTTGAAAGATCAGCCCATGAAGTGAAAACAAACCTCTCTCCTCTAATTACCTCTTTCTACTGGTCACATATACATACGTATATATATATTCTATGCTGCACTGTGGGAAGGTCTTATTAAACTTTCCTCAAGATATGGATCTTCATTTAACCTTTATATTTCCAGACTGATCAACAGTTGCTCACTGTTGACCCACAACAAACTCCAATATATTTTTCTTATATTTTGCCTATAAAACCTGAACACATTATGTAGATATTTTTTTCCCCCAGAACATCTGAATATTAGTTATGATGTGGATTGTTTTCTGACAAGGACTGCTACAGCTTACAATTAGTGTCCAGCTATGAGTAAGGGGAAGGTTTCCTTTGGTGGCGCAGGATGCAATATTACTCAACGAGGGTTGTAAAAGGCACAGAAGTTCTTTGCCCCAACAGCAGCTTAGTTCCTATTAGGCATATCCAAATCAGAGCACTGAGACAGAGTCAGACACTGAATGATATAACCCTACCAATCTGTGCATAACATAAAGTGCTTAGCTGGTTTAGCAATTCTCCTTTGCCTCTATTTTGGGCATACAGTGTTGCTTCCAGGACTTTGACAGTTTGGGGCCAGTTAGAATCAGCAGCTTGAGGGCTGCATTTACATTTTAGGCAGCCATTTTCTTCTTTTTCCAAACCCTCTTCCCTCATGTTCAGGCTGCAAATAAATGATGCTACGAGCACTGCACCTGGGGAGGCTGACAGTCTGCAGTGCCTAGTCTGGTTCTGTGTACTGATAGCTAAACAAATCTGAAGCATCCTCATACAGTAGCCTTACTGCACCATATCTTCAAATTAAATTTAAACAATACCTAAACAAGCTTACTTACTTTAAAATCATAAAACAGAAAGTCTAACTCTATAGACACATTTCTTTCCGATTATTTGAAAGATCTCTTCAGTAACTTGCAGCAATTGCTCAACGTATGGATGCATTTCACAATTTTCCAAGTGGATGCATCCTGAGTGCTACAGGATCTCATTCCCCTCCTAAAAAGTTCCTATGACCTATAATTTTGGGCCTTAATCTACAACTACAAGGTGCTACCATAAAATAGCACATGGTTACTGGTACTAGAACCATCCTCTGGATGCAATCAATGTTCTTTGTGCATAAACACAGCTTCAGGAGCAAGAAACAAAACACAGTCACGCTACTCTCTCAAACAGGGTAGATGATTGCACATCAGTATTTTGGTTAGTCAGCCACCTCTCCAGCAATCAGAATAAGCAACTTAATTACATATGATATTTTTGGAACCTGAAAGCACTGTTACAACCACCTCTTAGAGGACGTGATCTATCTGCATTTATAGTGCTTTCATCTGTAAATTCACCTTTCAAGTAAAAGCAGGCCATGTACTTGCTTACTTGATATAAATTTATACTTGCTCTAACCTTGAAAACTCCCAGACTTATCAATTAGGTTCCACACATCAGTAATTAACTGATTTCTGCTGAGAAGAACCATAGCTCCCCCAAACAAGTTCTAGAATCCTTTCATGCCAAGAGCTTGATGGGTTGGAGGGACACCACGGGCCATAATGATCATCAGCGTGACAGAAGTCTGTCTTAATCTGAATTGTGCCTGTGTCTAAAGCACCAAATTATTGTAACATTTAACTTGCACTTCTTGTTTCCTCCATTGTGAGATCCACACTATCATTCGCTTACTAACTCTGATAAGCTCATGTGATTTCCATCATGGATTTCAAATGCTCTGAAACCACCCAGCTAGTTTCAGGTCAATTTTTCTCTCCACTCCTATCCATCAAGAGCACTACAAAATCTTTTAAGCTGCACTGCAGGGAGTCAGCACACTTTTAGGTGATGGCAGCATACCAACGTTAATTTGACTAACCTAGTTCAGCATGCAGTATGCAATTATTTCCTACTCTCCTGGTTTTTTTTTTCCCCAGCCTAATTTCAATTTAATTTATACTTTGGTAAGGATTCTACCTCTAGAAAAGATAGCTAGTCCACAAGTCTTCCATTATGCTGCAGCTGCTGCTGTTATATTTGTCACTAAAAAAAAAAAATCTCACCTTGTGTGACAATGGGATTTGAATCACAATTGCTAAATATATCATGTATAGAAATTTGATTGCTTTACTTTTTTTTTTCCAGAAGGGGGGACATGTGCGGGCAAAACCTTATCGTTTATTTCATGCTTCACTACAGTGTAATTCTAGACCCTAAGATTTCTACCATTCCTATTTTGGCAATGAATGGAATGTAAAAGGGAGGTATTTAAAATTAATTGCAGCAGTTCTGAGGGTTAAACCTGCTTAACCCAACCTTTTATTAAGAGAATGTCAACAGAGCATATATCTTGTCTAGGGAGTGCTGGGACATCATCATTCTTCTACCAGCATGTTTAGTTCTAAAACCTGGGATTTCTTCAGGTTCCTGTAGCTGTCATGCACACCATATACCCATCCCAAACTATAGCATCTGTTCTGAGCTACTCACTACAGCAGGATTTGACCTGAGAAACTCTAGAGTTTTGTTTTACTTTATTAACTTGGAGTACTTTTAAACAGTTTTTAAACAAAGTTTTTCCCTCGACCAGCAAGGGAATTTTCAGCCTGAAGTTCTCAGCAGCATCCGGTGAGGCTCTTGGCCAAGTTCTTCAGATACTGTACATCCACAAGGGCAGCCTGCTGGCTCTTGCTGTGGCATTTTCTTAATCCTCAGAACAGATTTCCTGGATCTAGGAAATTTAATTCCTGACTCCTTCGACCCAGATGCTGGCAAAAATGTAGTCTGCAGTCTGTATGTAATTGGGTGTGTTCATTTTTTTTTTTCCTGTCTTTCTAGGAACTGGCCTTGCTGTTAAATTTTTCTAAAACAGTCATATTAATATGTTCAAAAATCCACTGTTGAGTTTCAGATAAAGGATCACATCTGTTCATGAAAATCTTCTTCTCAGCTGGGTTGCAATCTATGCAGCTGCTGCTTACCGGATGGAACAAAGTTTTGTCCTACAGGAATGAAAAAAAAAAAAATAGAATTAAGTAGCAAATGTCAAGTCATTGGAAGTGTTCTCATTTTACAGAACATGGATTAACACAGCACTGTCTGAAATGATTTTGTGGTCTCTGTGCACTAACCTTGTGTAATGACCACAGCTATTATTAGGAAGCTGTATAGAATGGAGCGTTTTTTTCCCTTGGGTTATTATCCTTCATGAAATTGGGGATTCAAGAAAGAATAAGGAGACATCTTCCAGTCTTTAACTAACAACCACATAATATAACGAAAAAACCAGAATGTCTTTTAATAATCTTTGCATATCATGTACTTGCCTAGACCCAAAAAATGTTTTAAATGTGTTTTTTTTAAATTTGTTTTCACAGTTTCCACTGTGCTTCTGGGTAGGACAATCTGTAACAATCTGTCTGGAAAATGGATACTCTTAAACTTGAGGAAGATGTTATTAACTGAAGTGGTGTGATGGACAGACAGACCCAGGACTGATGATCTCAGTTCTCAGCCCATGAAATGCAGACTTTGCCTATGGCCTCGATAAGATCAGCCACTGAAATATGCTCTCTCTCTCCTAATAAGAAGGAAATCCGAACACTGTTTTAGCTTCCAATGGAGATTTTGGGAGGATAAGCATGGATTAAGTTGCTTTAAAATGGATATTTATGATGATTAAGTTTTACTTTACAGAACTGGAGCAAATTGTAACCTGACTGTGAATCTTTGGTAAAGCAGAAACTACCCAGATAGGCAAATGGTATTATGGGTTGGGTAGTTTCAACAAATTTAGTTCATGTAGGCAAGTGTTTGAGAGAGACAGATGTGGGAGTTATTAGACGGTTTGAAAGTTTCCAGGGACTATACATTTACTGTATCTGTTGCAATAAATTTCAGGTTACTTTTGGTAAATCACATCCAAGCCTTTCCCCTCTGTGCCAAACTTGCCCTGTCAGTATTTTAATACTACTCCAGAGTGTGCCTGCTTGCCCAGTTTGTGAGAGGGGAAAAAAAAAAGAACCTACTCGTCAAATTGCAATTGATTAAAAACTCAGAAAAGTGCTCTGGGTGCTCAGCAACAATCATACAGAAACTTCTCTTTAACTAAAAATACCCCACATTCAAAAAAGAAGCATGAAGACAAAACCAAATATAACTCAGTAAGTCAACAAGAAATAGTAGCTATTTAAAAACACTTTTTAAAAAGAAAGGGTTTTTTTTTTTTAATTTCGTTAAGAGGAAAGTTATTGGTTTTGGTGGATGTGAAACACTATTAAAGTACAATGCCCTTTTTTAAATATTAACACATGCAAGACAGCAAAGTCAAAAGCCTCTTGTGCTCTGGCTGAGGGCAGTGGTGTTACACCCGCTTTTCACAAACACGGGTTTTCACCTCCAATGTCTGCCCTTCCCCCTAAATAGTGGGTAGACACACGCACACACGACTGTAATTCTGAGGGATGCCATCAAAGTCAACAGGAATCAGCCAAATGGGTCCTGCTCCTTTTTGCTCTATGAGGTGAGCAGGTAGGATACTTCATCTTGCAAGAAGGGGCTAACCGTACCGTGCACAAAGGGTTGTAGTGTCCTTACTAGGAGGTGGGCCTGCAAGAACTCCCAACCGTCCTACGGGGTGGTGCAGGCATCCATTTGCACCTTGCCAGTTCCTCCTGTCCTTCTGTGAGTGAGTGATGGAGCGGCACTGGCCCGAAATCAGGACACGGTGACCGTGCCATGGCCGCCCTGCCTGCTGCGGGGCCTCGGAGGAAGGTGGCATCTGGTTTTCCTTGCGCCATAGCTGGGCATGAGGGTCAACCAAGCTATTAGGAAGCCAAAGCTGGAATACTAGAAGCTTTAATAGGATAGCTGGTACAAGAAGAAAGGAAATGGCTTCAGTACAAAAAGCATGCTATGAAAAACACTCCAGCCTTTCTGAAGAGAGCTCACAGTCTTTCTTCTCACAGAAATATCTGGGGGATGCAATTTTTGAGTGAAGCATTGTCAGTGCTTTCTTTTAGAAAGTCTGGTTATTAGGAGAGAAGAGCATCTTTTAAGAACAGGACACAGTTACCACTCTGGAAAAACTTCTGGCTGACTTAGCCATTTATAAAGGCCTATTAATTTATCATCTCAAGCTTACGCTGACCTAAGGTCAAAGCCTGCTGCTCTCACAGATTTCAGTGGAAACAGGCTCAGGACTTTAAGGGGTAACAGTTGCGTGCATCACCGAAAAGAACTTTCCAAGAGAAATATATAAATTCCTCTTTACACCAATATTAAAAAGCTACAAGAGCTCCTGTGGAGACTTTTCTAACATCTCAAAAGAGCAAAGCAACTTCTTTTTTTTTTTTTTTTTTCCTTCTGCATGAAGGCAAGTCTGAAGATTATTTGCAGGAGGAGAAACTTCTCCATAAGATAATGGGCCTCGACAGTTCAGGGGAGCGGTAATGAGACACAGAGCCTTTCATTTCTTCTAGGTCACTGCTATAACTATGGCCAAGGTCGACAGCAACTGGAAGTCATTATCAGCTGGTGGCTGCAGTAGTTTATCTGAAATTAGTT